CCAGCCGGCGCTTCCGGCTTCGGACAGTGCAGGAAAGGTGATGGATGCCCACCTGGGTTTCGGCAGCCGGCGCTCCCTGCTTTGGCCAGTGCAGGAAAGGTGATGGATACCCACCTGGGTTTCGGCAGCCGGCGCTCCCTGCTTCGGCCAGTGCAGGAAACACGATGGATGCCCACCTGGGTTTTGGTAGCCGGCGCTCCCTGCTTCGGCCAGCGCAGGAAACGCAATGGATGCCCACCTGGGTTTTCTCACCACCTGCATCATTTACCTGCAAGGCTCAAATGTGAATTTTTAAACCTAGAGCTACCACCTCATCCCCCTCGGTCTTCTGTTTCTTCTACCACAAGTGGCTTTGTTTAGGATGCAGCTGTACTTTTTTTTCCTCTCCAGGAAAAATCTGGCTGCGGTTGTATGGATTCTCAAGAGCGTTTTTTTTTGATTCATGGGCAGATGTAGCGGTGGCAGCTCAGCTGTACGGGCATGGGTGGTTTGCATCAATAGACTAGTATTTGATAGGACCCACAGCCCAGCGCTCCAGCCATGGGCAATGGTGGGCTGTAGGGTTCCCCATGTAGGGTAGGCTGGGATGTGGGAATTAATGAGTGATGGGGGGTTTTGACTGCTGCTGTAGTTTGAGCAGACTGGTTTTAGCATCAAGCCTATTCGGAAGACAGGACTGGAACAAAGACCTCCAGCCACCGGGATGTTTACTGGCACTGTGGGACTAATTGATGGTGTCCCCTATTCGCTCCCATTTTCTCTTTGAATTTAGAAACAAAACGCTGAGTGTATCAAGCACCCCTCCTCTCAGCTTGTACCACGAACCAGGGCTCTGCCTGATGACAGCGCAAATACATCTTTGCTCACTGGAGACTAATTGTGTCGTTAGTAGCAACATCCAAGGTGGATGTTCAAGATTATCTTTTGACTCAAAATGTGTGCTGTTCCCAGGCTGCAGAGTTTTATAAGTGAGCAATTAAGCTGTGAGGATGGAGGGAAGGGAGAAGAGGAATGAAATCATTGGCATGGGTGCAGAAGATTAAATTAGAAGTCTCTGCAGGTGATGGTTCTTGGTTTAAATTGTCTCCTGTTGCTTATGCTCAAACTGCATCGATGGGGCTGATGTAATGTGAATTTTTTGGTGGTGAAAATGTAGGAACAGGTGTCCTATAGAATAGATGCTCTGCTCCTCAGGTCCTGGCTTGCTGCTGCCTCTCTTGCCATCCAACATCTCAGCGTGCTTTTTTCCTGATCTCCAGCACCTCCTGCTGATGGAGTCTGGCCCTTTCTGCGCAGCAATGCTGATCCTGCTCTTCCCTGGCCCGTGCTTGGCAGCAGTGCTAAGTCAGTCAGTAAGTCAAGGACAAGGTTTATATGTGGGCATAGCTGTGCCGTGAGCGCTCCCCACACAGCCATGTCCTCCGCTGCCGAGTTTGCCTGCCGTCCTGCATCATACATATTACATTGTAAAACTATATGTCTCGTTTTGGCAAATCTCTGCTTTTTCTTGTAATTTTTTTTTGTTTTTTTGACGGTAGCTGGCCACTTTGCTGAACTCTTAGCAGCCTGTTAGCAGGAACCCCAACAAAGGGCTCCTGGGCAGGCGCAGATAAACCGCGGGCGCACACTGTGGGTGCTCTGCACCTCTCAGAGCATCTCCATTTGCTGTGTCTGGGTGCTCGGCCCCCAGGGCACTGCCTGGGAGTCCCTGCCCGGGTCTGGCAGTCTCCCTCCAGCTCTGCCTGGCAGCTCGGAGTCCCACTTTTCAGCCAGGTTTGCAGGTCCCTCTTGCTTGGGGAAGGGTTGGCGAAGCGTCACGTTATGGTGGAGGTTGGGTCCCCACGGGCAGCGCTTGCAGCATTTGTGGTTAACAAAGTGGTGGCATCTTGTACATTTGGTCCCAGGCGGTTGGGGGCTCGTAGACCCCACGGGTGGTTGCTCAGCCACTTCCACCGTGGTAGAACAGCCTGGGGACAAACGTGGCAAAAACTGATGGCAATGGCTTATGATCACTTTAAATGGTGGGGTCGATGGGGAGCTGGTGAGAGAGTTTTTGCTCTGAACTGTGCGGTTGGCTTGTGTTAGGGGAGCCCTGTCTCAAATCAAGAATATTTTTTTGATGAAACATCATAGGAAGTGCTGCGGTAATGAACGAACACAGTTGTGCCATGTGGGGCAGTGTGCCTCGCAGGGTCCTCGCTTCAGGACATTGCATCGTTGGGGCTTGTGGACACTGTGGCAATATTTCTTCCCTTGCTGCGCCCTAAAACAGGGAAGCCGTTTCATTTTCTGTGAAAAGCACTTAAATTTTTAAGAATCATTCTGGTTCGGGGGCTGTATTTCTTATCAGAGTTACTGCAGCGTATCAGAGGAAACACTTGCACCCTGCTCTCTGGATGTTCTCCTCAAATAAGATGCTCTTAACAAAAATTAATCTTGCGCAGACAGAGTAAACTGTATAACTAGAAATGGCTTCAGATATTAGGAAACACCAGACATCGGTACTTGAGGGATTTCTGAATTTATTATAGGGAAAAGCTCTGGCAGGTAATTTCTAGCATAACTTGTCTCCTTCTGAAAAATGGTGTATGCTTTCCTATAAGCACGGGGTGCTGCTCGTTAATGGCCAGAGCCAGGCCTGCTCGCTATGAGTAGGTGCCCTCATAAGCAGGCAGATATTGCGGATTTTCTGATAGCCCGAGCAAGGCTCAGCAGCTCTGGAGGATTGTGGCAACTGATGGTTTTCTGTGGACAGAATTTGCAATGTGATCACAGGTATAAAGTTCAAAGCAGCTTGCATATTTGCTGCTTTTACACAATGTATATCCATGCTTTGGAATTTTTTTTTGTCATTTTAATCTCTTTTTTTTTTTCTTTTTTTTTTTTTTTTTTTTCTTCTCCCTCTGTCCCCTTTTACAATTAGGATTCTAGCAACTGCTGGGACTGATTTTGACCTGCGGACCCTGCGAGCTGTCCGAGTGTTACGACCCCTGAAGCTTGTGTCAGGAATCCCAAGTGAGTGTCATGATAATGTCATCTTCACAGCCAAAGGTGCTCTAGAGCTTTTGGGGTGTTACATGCTGTCCTGAGCAATAGATATATATATATTTTTTTTTTTCCTCCTGCTTCTTCACGGTCTGTGGCTCCCGCCCTTGCTAAGTTCTGATTTTCTGTCATCCCATTTTGTGTATAGCCAGCTGATTTCAGCACTGCGCTCCCAAATTTGTGGGTGAGCGGCAGGGATTTCGCCAAGGACTCCTTTGCCTTTGGGAGTTAATTGATTCTCTGGGGTGTGAAGACCTGAAACCCAAATTTTTCAGCTTTCAGGCCCCCAGCCCTGGGCTTGGCTCTTCTGCTGGTTTGTACCAGCTGAGCATCCTGCGCTGGGGATTTTACCCCTTCAATAAGGGAAAAATATCAAAGTGAAAGAGCGCATAGGACTTGGTCTTGCTTCCTCAATGGGCAAATTGATATATTTTCACGCTAGCGTGAATGGTCTGAATGCTCCAGTGAGGAGCTGCATCATGCCTTACTGCTGCCCTGAAACCATCAAAGTCCCCACGCTGTTGCTTACTGCCTTTTTATTTGTCGCTCTTCACCAGCTCCTCTGCCCGTTAGCGGGGGATCGCTGTCAGGAGTGTATTTCATTTCTGAATGTGGAACAGAGATTTTTTTTTTTTTTCCCTCCAGCAAGAACCAGTGAAAGAGAACCGCTGCTCTGTGGGACCCTCTGCTCTTCTCCACGTTCAGCCCTCAGCAGCCAGGCAGCCCCTCTCCTCCCGGGCGGTGTGTCAAGGCATCAGCTCTGCCACCTCCCCGGGTGCAGAAATGCAGCAAGGGCTTATGCTTTGCCATAACAGCACTAAAATTTGCTGAAATCGGCATCCTTTTACAGACAGGGCTTGAACCTGAATTCCCAGGCAGGAGAGTCCTTGGCTGGGCTCGGCAAAGGTGTCATTTGTTAACAGGATCTCTCACAAGGAGATGTCGCTGGCTGTTTCTTCATGGACTTCTTGCCTGTGCAAGACAATCCGGTGTTGTGGTAGTGGCAGTGTAAGGATGTCAGAGAAGCAAGGCGGCCCCTCAAGGGTGTCCTGGTGTGGGTCACAGGTTCCCCCCAGGAGGATGTGCTTTCCCACCTGGTGATGTGTCCTGGACCAGGCCAATATTTTTTCCCCACAGCATGACATGCTGTCATGTTTTTAAGTGATGCTGTGAAAGCTGTGTGCTGCATTATTTTTTTTCCTGTAGTAAAAGTACAACCTTGAGGTGCATTCGTACACGAGCATGGTGTGTGCTTTTCTTCTACACTTTCAGTATTTTTCCCGTCCAACAGATCTTCATGCTTTTTCTTTTTTCGGCACGCACCCGTGTTGACCTCAGTAATGCTGCACAAGGTGACAAGACAATGCCGATCCTTCATTCTCCATACCTTAGGGCAGGCCACCAAGGTGGCTTTCAGCTGGTGCTTATCGCTGAAGTTGTTTTGTTCTGTGTGTCTGTATGACGTTATCTGACATCTCCATCTCTCCAACCTCTCTCGCCTTATCTCCCCTGGTTTTAATTGAAAATGAGTTTAGTGCCAGTGAAAAAGGGGTGGATGGATAGTGCTGGAAGCAGAGTTTTGTTTCTCCAGAAGCGGGGTGTGAGAGTCACAGCAGCATCGCGGCTATTCTGTGTGTCACGGAGGGAGAGGCAGCTCCTGTGCAGCTCAGCACTCCCTGCCCTCCCTGGGACCGGAGCAGTGCCCAGCTCCACTGCTGCATCCATGCTGCCTTCAGGAAAAGTCCTTTTTGTATCTCTGAAGCTTAAGATACCTTTGAATCAGTGATCTGAAGAAAAGGGGTCAGAAAAAGATGACTCTCCTGATTGTCTCTCTCATATCTTGAGTGCATTACGGCTGTAGCATCTTTTTTAGAGCACCCTGGGAAAAGCAGCATTGCTTGGCATTGCCAATCCCAAACTTGCCCTTAGGCAACCCCTCTCTCCTACCTTCCTCCCCCCTCTGTTTTCCTTCCCTCACTGATTACATGTTTTTCCTTTGTTCCCCACAGGCTTGCAGGTTGTCCTCAAGTCCATCATGAAGGCAATGGTGCCTTTGCTTCAGATCGGGCTGCTCCTCTTCTTCGCTATCGTGATGTTTGCCATCATCGGGCTGGAGTTTTACATGGGGAAGTTTCATAAAACCTGCTTCTCTAATGAGACAGGTGAGCTTTGGGCTTTGCTTCCCTCCCAGCGTATGATCACGATGCTTCTAGTCCCCTTCATCTCACCAGGATGCTTTCTGTCCTGCTCTTATGTTGCTTTTCCTTTTCATTGTCTACATTTATTGCATTCTCTCCCTCTTTACCCACCTACATTAAGAGTTAACAGCCTCTTGTGCTCACCCTGCAGACATTGGGACAGATTCTCCTCTCTCTGTTACACCACCACGGCACTCCTGATGGTAGTGGGTCACTCCGGTCTACACAAGATTCTCAGGGCCTCCTCCCATGGGAGAATATTTTCACAGTAGAAATACAGAACCAAATTCCTGTTGTTCCAGCTTGTTGAAGAGTGGGGTTTGGGTTTGGGTTTTTTTTTTTGGGGTTATTTTTCTGATTCATTGGTCTCTGTTTACATTTTCATTGGGTTTAGCTCTATGAACAGCTACTGAATGTTGAATTTCCTTGCAAGGTTTCTGGGCCAAGTTGTATGGGTGTGAGAAAACTTCGGTGTGAATAGTAAGACTGGAAAGACTGGGAGCAACCAAAAAAACATAAGAAAGGCCAATAGATGGAAGGCAAGGAGCCCTTTGATGGAGAAAGGATAAAAGAAGCCCTTCAAACTGAGAAGGGAAATTGGGCACTGCAGAGTAAATGATGGGTCTGCCTGTGAATGAGTGAGAAACCCCACAAGATGGAGATGGAGAGGAGTAATGCCCAGAGCCCCTCGGCTGGGACCGGCTGCCATGTCAAAGCCAGCTGCTTGTCCGTGCCTCAGAACTCAGTCCTATTAAAAAAAAAAAAGGGGGCAATTTTTTAATATTCCCTTATCGCGGTGCTAATATGTGTTGGTTCTCTGGGCCATCCACAGATGAAAATATTGTTCTTGTCTCCAAAAGATTGCAATTTGAGGTACAATTGACTGTCTTTAAAACACAGTCTTGTATTTTCAGTGATTATCACTAATAGTTCTTAATATTGATTTATTTATACGCATTCAAATGGTAATAAAACAACATCCCTGCCAAATCTCTGGGCATCCTTCACAGCGCTTTCTAACAACAACAGGGAAACAGTTTAATATAGTCCGTTTACACAGAGCTTTGCAAAAGCAGGGTGAAATTGTTTTCTTGTGTTCCGACGTGATGCTAGAAAAACATAACAGGGCTTGTGAAGGACAGTCAGGTGTTGTGACTGGTGAGCGAAGCACGGCGATTCCTGGGAGAAATGATTTTTTTGGACTGGATTTGTAGCGGAGGAGAATCTTTTAGCAGGGGGGTGCGTGTTCACACCAAGCAGAAGGGGTGTCAGCCCACCGCCAGGTCTCTGGGGCTGCTGCGGCAATTACAGAGGCATAACAACGAGAGTGACAGTGTAGGTGTGTAGGAAGCAGAAGCGTTCTTGGCGAGATGGCAGAGAGAAAGCGATCGTGAGCAGGTTTGCATTTTCTAGGAGTGTTTTCAGGTCTGTTAAATTGCAGCCAAGGGGGGGGGATTTTTTTGCATCCTTTGTGGGCGGGTAGTGGCCGCAGGCTGAGCGCTGAGGCTCCCTGCCAATGGGCTGCCCTTAGCCACTGGGCTAAAGAAAAGAGTGATTTCTTTTTTATTATTATTATTATTTTATTTGTCCTCCCCCCAGAGACTAGTTAACATAAAAGGGAAAAACAAAACCCAAAGCTGTTTACGTTCTCCGCAGAGAAGTCTCTGCCATCAGTGATGACCGAGATCTCTCTGCCAGGCTTGGGGACCGAGAACAGATTTTTGTCATGTGTAACGTCCTGTGTAAGTGACTCTTGCTTGCTGGGTGGCTCCCAGCGAGGAATTGGGAACGCGGCCGAAAACCCCCTTGTGTGCGTTGCGTATCTCTGCATCGCAGCACCTGGCATCTCGGTGGGAGGACGTGGCGTGGCCGGGCTCACCTCCCCCCGAATCCGTGGTGTGGGAAGGCGCCGGCCCTTGCTTTTCTCAAGGGCTAACGAGCCTGTCGGGGGATGAATTATGGGGATCGATTCCGCCTGCTCGGCGGGAAATGGCGCGATGGTGTTTCTGGAAAGGCGGAGAGCGGTGAGGTTTCCTGGCGCTGCGGTCCCTGGTGAGCGGAGCAGCAGAGCATCCCGCAAAGCCATCAGCTGAGCCTTTTAAAACCTAAGTGCTCATCATCTCCGAAAGAGGTGCATTAACAAGCCCGGACCTGATACCACGGGCTCCAAAGGCTGGCTTGAGTGTGGAAATGTGAACCTCATTAAAGAGATGCCTCTGTCAGAGGGCAGCAAATTGGAGGAGGAGGAGGAGGAGTCGCTCGTGCTTTTTTCTCTTCCTAATCCCCAAAGTGAGCAAACTCCTGGGATTTTTCCTGGAATCGGGAGCCACCGGCTGTACCGGTGGTACAGTACAGTACAGTACAGTACGGAAAGGTACCGGCTGTAACTTCGGCGTATCGTGGAGGTGTCAACAGCATTTGTCGCTGTAGCCCTGGGGGGAGGTCAGTAATAAACTGCAGCGCAGGGAGGTGCTGGGGACCAAAATACGGCAAAAGGGTTATCGAGGCCTTCGCCGCTCAGCCTGACAGACTGTTCAGAGCTAGTGGAAACATTTCTTTATTTTAATGAAAAACGGGTAAAAATTAATGGCAACGTGTGCTCCAGTGATTGTCTGACTTGTTTGCCTCTCCCTGCCCCCTCCGTGCTGTCCCGTTCTGCTGACACAGGAGTATTTTTAAGCAGTTGTCCTCTGCAGCTGACCCAGCCCGAGTGCCCTGAAGCTGCTCCAGGAGAGGAGGGCATCACATTTGTTTCCCATTTTTTCCTTGAGGCTCCCCTTTTCTCTGTCTTCCCCAGCTGTGGGAGCAGTGATCACTTCTGGTATCTTATTTTAACAAAAAAACCCCAACCTAAGCCGCCGTAGTAGATGTGCATTGCATTTTTGGAGCATTACCTGGCAACAAAAGGCTGAAGAGAGATAAAACTGGATTCTCTTTTAAGGCACGCTCACGAATGGTCTGCGAGAGCCAGATTTGGTATTTTCTTTTTGCAGGCTTGTCTCGCTGAGCTCTTGTGAAAGCCTGTGGTGACCCATATGGGAGCTGGGGAGAGCTGCCCTGCTTTAAGGTGTTGAGTCAACAGGAAAATGCGCCACATACACACATATATATATATCTATCTCCTGGAGCCACAGTGACAATCTTGTTTTCCTCCTGCAGGCTTTGCTCTATGGAATGATTATTCCTAATTATTGTTAGTGCTGATCTTGTTTTCCCCCTGGTGAATTTGATTTTGTGCAGTTTGCTGCTCCATTACCATAACGTGTCACTTTAATATTTCCCGAATTGCATCTCTGTGTAAATAGAAATATTACTTAGTATATTTATTTACTTTGAAACCCCAGCACCTTAGTTTTCCAAAGTGCTCTGTGTTGGTGCTCACAATGTCTCTGGAGGGCTGCAACGCTTCAGACTTTCCCAGCTGACCCTGGGAGATGCTGGCCACCCTTCTGGCTGTCCCTTGTGGTCCTTAACCATGACAGACTCATCCTCCTTTGCCTTCTCTGGGTCTGAAATGAAACTTGGAGGAGAAACTCCATCCCTGCTGTGGACAAGGTGCCAGCTGGGTGCTTTCCCTGCCACGGTACCCCCGCGCCGCAGCACTGCCCTGTGGGGCAGAAGTGGGAAGCTTACAGAGGGGCTGGAGCTCTTGGGCCACCCCACAGGCTGCTGTGCCTTGTGACGAAGGCAGGGGCTCCTCATGCAGCTGTGGCCTAACATCTGTACCTGGACAATTTTGGGGCTATCCACAAGAAGCTCTGGTGAAGCCTCTGGTGAAGAACCTGCCCTTTTGGTTTTTTTCACTTTACTGTTCTAGTGCTGATATTTAGCACTTAGCGATGCTGTGTGAGGGTGTACCGTTGGCTCACAGAGTTTGAAGTATGCACCGTTCCCAAACCCTTCCTTTTAGCGCACTGTTTTTTTCATGGCATTTCTCATATATGACACGGCTGAACACTGGGGCAAACTATAAATTATTCCCACTTCAGGGATGGCTCTGCCCTACCCTGCCACTAAACCGTCTCTTATAACACAGCAGTATATAAATGATTACACGGGCATAATGTTTTTTACATGCCTATAGTGGCAGAAGAAAGCCTAAAATGCAAATTACGCTCATGCAGTGGTGCAGGGAGGATGCAGCAGCTTTTTGACTGGCATCTGCCGGTAACTTTTCTCCCTCCCGTTCTTCTCTGCAGGCGATGAGGTGGGAGATTTTCCGTGCGGAGAGGAGCCTCCTGCCAGGCAGTGTGAGAGTGGGACCACCTGCAGGGAGTACTGGCAAGGGCCCAACTATGGCATCACCAACTTCGACAACATCCTCTTTGCTGTGCTCACCGTCTTCCAGTGCATCACCATGGAGGGATGGACCGACATCCTCTACAATGTGAGTCCGCTGGTGGGGCTGTAGGACTCCCTGGGGTGCTGTTATTCATTGTGTTAGCTTGGAAAAGGTTGCTCTGGAAAAAAAAGGTAATTTGTGCGTTTTTCCCCTATTGATTAGCAACCTTGACCTGATTTTCAGGAGGGTTGTTCCTATTTTCTTGAGGGTTGTTCTGCAGGTCCTGTAAGAGCCTTTGAACCACTGTTGTGGCCTGTGGTGGTTTGAGGCTGCAGACTTGCTTACCTGCGGCATGATGTCTTGTGTCAGTGTGGTGTTGCCACGTGCGCGTCACTCCAAGATGTTGATGGGCTCTGCTGTAGGGATGGGCGGGTGAGTCGGAGCATGTTCTTATGATGTCCCATAGAAAATCGGTTACGAAATTGCACAATAGAGGGGGGCAAAACCAGTGACTTGTTAATATTTTGTGCGCAGAGGTTTCCTCTCTTGCCTTCGTGACCAAACTTGTACGCTGCATCAGTGAGCAGCATCAGCTGGATGTTAGCACTGAGATCCAGTAGTAGTTTTGTCAAATGGAATACAACTTTACAAAGCCCTACGAGTCACCTCCACGCCTGGCATGACTCTGGCTGTGGAGAAGCTACACCAGTCTGAATTCCCTTGCTCGGGTCTTCACTGCCTGTGCCTCCTGCCAGCCAGGACCGTGGCTGTTGTAGCCACTCAGACAAGAGGTCTAAACCTCTTGGTCAGTTTTAGTCTTTCCAATTTTACAAAGAGTAGGGCAACCTCACCCAGTTAGCAACAACTGAATAATTCCGCTGTCTTTCAGGCAGTATAATGCTCTTGTTTTGTGTCTCTAACCCTTTCGAGGTGTCCTGTCTTGAGAGGCAAGCGCCTAACCCTTGCTGGCAGGCTGGGAATGGGGCCCTTCAGCTGGTTTCCAGCATCTTTGCCGTATTTCCTCGCTCAGTGTGACAGCTGTGATTCGGGAACTCTAAGGGACCTGTGTATCTCTTGCAGACCTGTTCTCCCCAGCTTTGTGAATTGCTTAGATCTTCACATGTTTCTGCGGTGGGTGTAAAGTGCTGTGGTTTGGGTCTGAAGGATGGTCCAGCTGTTCTGTACTTCCGTTTTCTGGGGTAGTAAAGGACTTTATCAAGTACAGGGGCAGGAAGGAGAGAGCGAGTGGTGATGATGCTTCTTTCTGTTGACTGTAGAAGGAAGGACAGTCCCTAAGCTGTGCATGCATGATCTGAATTACCCCACGCTATCCTAGCCAGAAGTGCCAATGTGGAAAAATAACTAAGGTAGGCATTAATAATACCTCCAGTCCATTTCACTGGCTGGTAGGACTACAGAGTGTTCAATCTACTTCATTATAGACTCTAGACCCATGCTGAGCTCTTTTGCAGACCCTCCTGTGAGGGTTTCTGTAGCAACAGGAGAGTATTATTAATATCAACCACAGCAAATTGCAAGGTACAATTCTGCTGTGTTTGAAGTCAATATATCTGATTTATTACCTTCTCCGCTCATTGCTCAGTTCCTCCATTTCTTCCCAGTCTCTGTCTGCTTACAGCGGTCTCTAGAAGGGCCCATTTCCCCACTGCATGCCCTCCCCTCACCCTGAAACTCCATCACACTACCAGTTTCTCCCATTCTCATTCAGCAATCCCCCTCCTTCCTTCTAGTGCCAATTGTTGTAAGAAAAGCCCATTAGCATCCTGGATGGAATTGATTAATCAATACGTGGTGTATTAGATCATCTTCTCCCAAACTGCCTTTTGTACCACATGCAAAAAACTAGAGCTTACTATTGGGGTATTGATTTTGGGGGTTGCTTTGAAAACTATTATAGTATCATTCTAGGTACCCATTAATCTAATTGGAAAGAGATGCCTGGATGAGATGCAGCTGAATAGTTGTATAATGTCAAGCCTTGTCTGAGACCCCAGCTGAGGTTTTAGTGCCTGGTGGGTTCATGTCTCTGACAGATATGAGGGTCTGCTCTCTTCTGAGGAAAGGCTGAGGGACGTGGGGCTGTTCAGTCTGGAGAAGAGAAGACTGAGGGGGATCTTATCAATGCTGATCAATCCTTCAAATCGTGTCGTTCGGCAGTTCCATCTCCCCCTGAGCAGGGCCTTCTCTGCTGTGAGGGCGGCAGAGCAGTGGCACAGATGCCCAGAGAGGTGGGGGAGTCTCCCCCTCTGGAGCCATCCCAAACCCGCCTGGACGCCGTCCTGTGCCACTGCTGGAGGTGCCCCTGCTCTGGCGGGGGGTGGGATGGGGGAGCTCCAGAGGGCCCTTCCAGCCCTCACCAGTCTGGGATGCTGTGATTCTGCTGGGTGAAAGGCGAGTGGTGTGTTGTGTGCCACAGCACCACTCGGCAGACGGTGTCCATGTAACTGGTGCCAGCAGCCACCTCTTCCCCCTCTCCCTTGGCCCGGCCCCGTGTGCTGTGTCACCCCCTCCCTGTGTGGCTCTGCTGGCTGCGGGGCTGACTGTGCTTTTGCAGGTTAGTAGCTGAGAAAAGATGTGGGTGGAGAAGATCCACTCAGTGCAGCCCTTCACTTTTTCACAGCTTCAGTCATCTGCTGATTTCTGGCCGCTTGGCTTTCGTCTTGGTTTCTTCTATGCCTACTCTAAGTTCATCAAATTTTAAAGTGAGACAAAAGCCCAAACCGTGCTGCAGCAATGACTGAAAACCCAGCACGGGCGGTGTTTGTGGATGGAGCTGTCTGATGGTGCAGCGTTAACAGCGATGCAACTGGTTTGTCCATCCAGCACCAGTCAGTTCAGCAACTGCACCTTAATGCTGCCTGAAGCAGCTGGATCCCTGCTGGACCCATACTGGGTTGGTGTGGGAAGAAGCTGGAAGATGTTGCCTCTTGCATCCAGAGTTTGAACAGTGGGGTAAGCGAAGATGTGTCAGGGTCCTTCTCCTTGCGTTGTGGAGGCCGGGGAGTGAGCTGGGAGTAAGCCAGGGAGTATTTAGGCTCAGACAACGGGTGAGCATCAGGGGTTGTTCATGGAGATTTGATTGACCATTTGGGTTCTCCACTGCTGAGGAGAATGGTTTTAGCCAGGAAAACTTTGTAATGGTGGAACTCGTCTCCCTGCCAAGCCCGGCCTCTGGTCTCCTCAAGGGAACCGGCGTTCCCCTGGTGCAGGACACACATCAGAGCTGAGCTGCGAACCTACTTTCAATGTTTTGCTTAATTAAGATTTGCAAAAGGCTGTGGGACCACAAGAGGCAGGACGGGGTCTATGTAAACTGTGATTATGAATTAGTAAGGAAAAAGGCTGGTGCTTTTTCTCCCACTGACTAACTAGAAAGTGGGGAAAGCTGCTGTTCCTCGGGCTTCGCAGAGCCCTTCCATCCCTCCTCCCTTTGTCTGCCCGCTGCCACGTGTTGGGTTTGGTTGGGGCAGGAATATTGCCTTCCTTGTGCAAGCCCTCTCCCTCCTTGCTGTTCACGCTGGCAGCCTCACGTGTGGACTGGTCTTAGGGCTGCAATCCCTTTGCTGCCCGGCGGACTGGGACCCAGACCCATTGCGGGGACATTGAGGTCAGGGACTGCTTCCTCAATGGGCGGTTTGGTTCTTTCTGGAAAATGGTGACTGATTGATTGCCCCGCATCAACAGGGCGTTGTTATCGCTCCTCTTTTCCTGCTATTCCATTTGTTGCGGGGTGTTCAGAAGAGTTAGGCTTTTTAATTTGACAGCTGCGGGTCAGCCGCAGGGCGAGACCTGCTTTACCAGTTCAGCCTGAATTTACCCATGGGGAGAGAGTTTGCTCTGACCTGAAAGCAGCTTTGAGACTGAAAAGTTGGTGTGTGGTGGCATCAGGCAAGCTGAAGAGTTTGGTGTAAAGCGATGTTGAGGGAAGAGGGAGTTTAGGCTTGAGTTTGACGGTTTGGCTCTGGTCTTTCCAAAGCGAGAGGTTTGTTGTGAAAGGGTTATTCAGTCATTTCCAAAGGACTGAGATGACTTTATATGTGGTCCAGATGCGGCCTTCCTACAGACTTAGAGAAAAAGAGCATCAAAGGCTTTGCAGCAAGTAGTCTACCTTGCAAATATTCACTCCTCCTCCTGTGATAAATTGAGGAATTAGGAGGGCAGGGAGAATGCAAGTTCACAAATCTCAGCTCATTTTTTCCTTGCTGATCCACGGTTTATCCTTTCACAGAGTTTCATTTTAATTAGGGCCAATGAAAGCTTTCTAGCAAGGCTTTATCTGGGAGGTGATTTATGCTTGAAGCAAAAAGACTGACTCATCAATCGGGTGAAATGCTTTAAGAATAAGCTGGGGAAAACTCCTTCCTGCATCAGCAGCACAAGACGGTTACAGCAATTGCTCCGAACCAGCGCTTCTGTGAGCTGCAGATCTGTCAGCTGTGGTCTGCTTCTACCCAAAACGGTCCAAGGAGCAACAGGTGAGCAACAGGAAAGTTGCTGTGTCCTGAGGACAGGGAAGAACCTTTTCTCCAGCAAATGGAGCGTGCTTACCTCCTGCTAATTCAAGGTTTCAACGTGGTCTGGGAATGCATTAAAACAGAGTAACTAAACTGTTTTCCTCAGTGGGGGAGGACTCAGTGTCACAGTCAGGTGCTGTGAAGAGTTTTTCAGTCTAATCCAGTGCAGACAGATCAGAGATCCCTGAAGTACGAGCAGAGCATCTTCTGTACCGTGAAATTAGGGAAAAACCTACCTAGAGCATCAGCTCACTGCGGGCAGCAATGCTGCTCGAGTACAACCTGCCCTAGAGGAGCACACCTGACTGCTTTTTCTGCAACTGGGACTAATTTAGTCCCAGGCTGGTCCAGCAGCAGGAGTTGTGCCTCTCAGCAATGGAAACCATCCCCGGGCAGATGCAACCGTTGTGCGTCCTGGTGTGGAGGTGCTGACGTGGGCTCTGCCCCGGGCGCTGTTGCTCAGGTCAGGGGCTTTGTGCAGTGAGTTGTGTTCACCCGCAGCATCGCGCCGGGGTTGGGGGTGATGTGAGACAGCAAGGGCTGCTGCGTCCGCTCTGCTTGTACCCGAAG